TAAGTGAAAAAGCTCCATTCAGGCCCCCTAAACTTGTAAAATTGTTCAATTAAGTCTAAGTTGACTTGTTTATCAGGTTAAATGCATGCGGTGTTGCCACCTGTCCTTATTTTATTTTTTATTAAAAATATTATTTATTAAAAATTAATTAAAATAATAATAAATTTATTATTATTATTATTATTATTTAAAAAAAAAAAAAAAAACAACCACCGGCTGTCCACGCCGGACAGCCGGTGGAGGTCCCCTCCGTCTGGAACGAGGGCGGCGGTGAATGTCGTAGCTCTCGTCCAGATCTGGAAGACGGCCATGGTCGTCTTCCTTCGTTGGCCATGGCTGGACGGCCACGGTTGTCCTTGAAGAAGGAAGACAGTCGATGTTTTTTTTTTTTTGTTTTTTTGTTTTTAAATTTTTTTTAATTTTTTTAATTATTATTATTATTATAATAAATTATAATAAATAATATTTTTAATTAAAAAATAAAATAAGGACACGTGTCAACACCGTATGCATTTAATCTGATAAACAAGTCAACTTGGACTTAATTGAACAATTTTACAGGTTTAGGGGATCTGAATGGAACTTTTTTCACTTAGGGGACTCAATTGCACTATCCACTCGACTTAGGGGACCAATTTGATACTTTTTCCTTGATTTTTTGTTTAAGGGTACTTGTAAATTTATTTCAAAAATATTATCTATGTTATTTATGCGTTATCATTTCAACATTATATATTTTGTCATATTCTTATTATTGTACTATATATAGTACTTCATTGACACATCATACATTTTGTCATGTTAATTATCATTGTCACGTTATAAACATTATTTGTTTATAAAGTTATAAAATTAATAGTATTAGATCAGACATATACAAATGGTATCCGGGTTGGACTTCTATTTAGAAGGTTGTGAGTTCGAGCTTCAGTGGATGCGTTATTGGTTCTTTGTGTTTTAGTAGGCTGAGAAAGTATGTAAACAAATAGAGTTAATACCCAAAATCGTCCTCGACTATAGTGGTTTTTCTCAATTTCGTCCTAAACGACTTTAGTGACCTAATATCGTCCCAGACTTTTGTGTTTCGCTCAATTTAGTCCTCCATTTGTTATTCCGTCAAATTGGTGTTAAATTAAGGGACAATTCAGTAATGTCAATATTGATCTCTCTTTACTTTCAACTTGTGAAGTGCGGAATTCCTCTTTCTTGTACGAATTACACCTAGAATTACTCCCGGACCTGCAAATCAAATTTTATATTCGCAGTTTTAGGAGTAATTCTGGGAGTAATTCGTAAAAAAAAAAGGATTTCGCAGTTCACATGTCTATGAGTAAAGAGATGCCAATATTAAAATTACTGAATTGTCTATTTATTTAACACCAAATGGACAGAATAACAAATGAGGGACTAAATTGAGTAAAAACACAAAAGTCTAGGACTAAATTGAGCGAAACACAAAAGTCTGGGACGATATTAGGTCACCAAAGTCGTTTAGGACGAAATTGAGAAAAACCACTATAATCGAGGACGATTTTGGGTATTAACTCTAAACAAATACTACATTGTAATAGAACCATTAGCATTCAAAAAAAAAAAAAAAAAGATCAGACATATACAAATATTTGAAAAATGTTCGAAAAGAAAAAGTAGTCGCATATCTATCGATTCAAATAATAATAACAAAGAAATGCACCTATGGATTAATTATAAGAATGTTTAACATAGTCACACTATTAAAAGAAAAAAAATAGAAATAAGATATTTTATTTTTATGATATGAGTCACATGCATAAGCTTTAAAATTATTTCAAAAAATGCATTTCAACCATTCATTTATAAAAAAATTTTAAATAGACACGATAAAGCTCATGGTACATACTAGTCAAAACATAACTTGAAATACTTCTATGATGAAAATGAAATTTATTCATGTGCGCATCTATATGGGTTGAGAGAAACGAACTGCATAGATTAAAGGAAATCTAGTTCCAAAACATGAACAAGAAAGAGATAGAGGACTGAAAAGCAGTCCATACGATTAGACATGAGTAAGGCCTCCTTAGCTAGCAAGTGGGCGACCCTATTCGTATATCATTTAACAAACGAAAAGCTGAGATTACAGAGTTCTCTAGCTATATTTCTAATGTCATACAAAATAAGATCAAAATAGGAAAACATTGACTAATTTTGAAGACCCTGAATGACCTTGATGCAATCGGTTCCCAACTGAACATGATCAAATCCTTGAGCCTTTATCCATTTAAGAGCTTCACGAACTACCATGGCCTCCGCCTTGTCTGGTTTACATAAACCATTGTAAGGGATCTACATAAAATCACCATTTAAATTACGGAGGACAAAATCGAAACCCATTTTCGAACTGTTTTGGTCCAGAGTAGCATCAATATTGAGCTTAAGCCACCCATCCGGAGGCTTAGACCATCTTTCAACATGACTAGGATCATTTCCAGAATGCTCCACTCCAAGATTAACCTGTTGCCATTCATAAACAAATGTTTGAGCCTCATTAATGATAGTGTGCATAGAAGACATAACATGGTTCCACACTTTATCGTTTCTTGCAGCCCATAATTTCTAGAAGATAGATATCATAATGCAAAGTTCATTATCAGAGAGAGATTTGAAGTTAGTCTCTAACCATCCAAGCAGATCAGTGCAGCCTTGGTAAATAACAAAGCCAAGATAGTTCCAGCAGCTGCGAGCGAGGGGGCAAGTGACAAATAAGTGGAAGACAGTTTCATCATCAAGGTTACACATTTGGCAAGTGGAGGGGACTTGAACTCGTTTTGACCTTAGAAGATCCATAGTTGGGAGTGTAAAGGAACAAAGTTGCCAGAAGAACAGTTTGATTTGGGAGGGAGCTTTAGCTTCCAAGATTTTGTCCAGAAAAGGATATCCTCAGAACTCAGCTGACCTTGCAGCTTCTTGTAGCAACTTCTGACATAATAGGCACCTTTCTCATCTCCAATCCAGATAATCTTGTCTTGATGTTTAACCTCTGCAATAGGAATGTTTTTTTAACGAGTTTAACATCATCACGAGCAAATAAAGCATCAAGAAGATCTGAGTCCCAAGCTGTTTTTGAAATATTAAGAAGAGAATCCACATGTAAATCTTCAAGAGAGTCAGACACTCAGGCATAGGGGTTTGCACATAAGGTGAATTATGGTTTGGAAGCCAATGATCTTTCCAAACATAAATAGAGGAACCATCACTAACTCTCCATCTACACCCTTGTTGTAAGACATTCTGAACCTCCAAGATACTTCGCCAAACAAAAGAGGGGTTACTGCCCAGAGTAGCTTCAAAAAAAAGAACTTAAGTGATAATATTTAGCTTTGTAAAGTTTAGATAGCAGGGAATTGGGGAATTGGATCAGCCTCCAAGCTTGTTTGCCTAAAAGGGAAATGTTAAAATCATGTATTTTTTCTGAAATTCATACCACTCCATTGTTTAGGAATACAAAGGGAATCACACCGCTTCCATCTTATACCCCTGCTCCTCTCTCCCTCACAACCCCACCAAAAGGCATTCATGATCATCTCTATTTCTCTCCCCATTTCCAAAGGCAAAAGGAATACACTCATGGCATAGGTAAGAATGACTTGGATTACATTTTTTAAAAAGGATTTCTCTCCAGGCCCTTGAAAGGAATCTGTTTGTCCAACTCTTAATCCTTTCCACCACTTTTTTTCTTGATAAAGCCAAATATGTCCTTCTTGTTTCTACTCTGTTTCTACCTATTAGAGATGGTAGACCATGGTGCTCAGTTTTCTAGGCGCATACCCGTTGTAAGAAATCTTTGTAATTAGTTTTTCGATTTTTTCTATGTTTCTCCCTCTTCCTTGATAAAAAAAAAAACTTAACATCATTTAAAATTAAATTAAAAATAACTTCTGTGAAATCAAAGTCTAGTTAATCAAATGAGACACATAAAATTAACATCTATCAAGTCAAGTCTAGTTAATTAAATTAGGGACAGAAAATGAGACCTAAAAGGAGTATTATATTTGATTTGGATATTGTTGAGAAAAGGGTCAAATAGACTCCTGAACTTTTCACGAAAAGTCAATTAGACCCTTGAACTTTTAAAATGTTCAATTAAACACATAAACTCACGATTTTAGTTCGTTTAACCCCTTTCACCGATTACCCTTCCAGTTACTTCCGGTAGAAGCTTACATGGCAGATTACTTGACAAAAATATGAATATTTGTCTTGCCACATAAGCATATGTAAAAAAAAATAATAAAAAAATAATAAAAAAGCATCCCTAATTGTTCTTCAGCTGCTTCTTCTGCAGACCATCTGCGTTTTATTTTTATAGAATTGAATCTACCATCAAAATTTACTTCACCCATTTCTTCTCTCTCTAGCATGTTCTTCACCTGCTTCTTCTTTCCTAATCTTCTTCGTTTTTCAGTTCACTAGTTGCTTCGTCTCGACTTCTTCTTCTTCTTCTTTTCCATCCCACCCGCATCACTCAGTCGAGCACCACACGGCGGAGAGCTGCTCCGGCCATCCTCTTCCTCTACATCTGCCAACTTCGCCACCGTAGCAGTCGCCGCCAACCTTTCTTGAGCCACCGCTTCTTCCTCCGCCATCCCTGCCAGTCCATCCCTTGGAACCAATCTTGAATTCCCCCCCTTCTACACTTCATTCCAAATCTAAAACACCTAGAACAATAAAGCAGGAATCAATTCGTATTCAATCCTCTGCCAAAGCCCTTATCCTCTTCCTCCGCCGATGTGATCTCTATCCATATTTTATCTACAATCGGCTTCAGCAAATTGATTTCAATCTTCGCATTCGCTATGCTCGGTCTCGTTCTTCGCTCTTCGCTCTGTATGTAGCCGCATTCAAAGCTAAAATTCTTCCAATTGACGCACAATTCGACTTATCATCTGAACGTTGAAAAAAGAAGAAGAAGAAGATTAGGGAAGAAGAAGCAGGTGAAGAACACGCTATAGAGAGAAAAAATGGGTGAAATTAGAGCTTATTTTATATGGAAAGAAGAAGCAGGTGAAGAACACGAAATGATGTTGGTGGTGAACCCATTTCAGCAGGTGAAGAACATGCTAGAGGGAGAAGAAATGGGTGAAGTAAGTTTTGATGGTAGATTCAATTCTGTAAAAATAAAACGCAGATGGTCTGCAGAAGAAGCAGCTGAAGAACATTAGGGATGATTTTTATTTTTGATTTACTTTTTTTACATATGTTTATGTGGCAAGACAAATATTAATATTTTTGTTAAGTAATTTGCCATGTAAGTTTTGACCGGAAGTAACTGGAAGAGTAACCGGTAAAAGGGGTTAAATGAACTAAAATCGTGAGTTTATGTGTTTAATTGACCTTTTTAAAAGTTCAAGAGTTTAATTGACTTTTCGTGAAAAGTTAAGGAGTCTATTTGACTCTTTTCTCGATATTGTTTTTATCATCACCCAAAATTTTAGATATCCAATTCAAAATTACTTTTGAATTTTTTTTTTTTTAGCACACCATCACTTAGAACTTGGCAATGAATTCAACATTTCAACCATGGATGCTTTGCTGCAGTTAGCATTTTGAACTCCATACTCCTACAATGGAGGGTTTGGCAGAACTCGCACGAGGGTGTACAATTGTGCACTGGCGCCGCCGTCGATTCTACGTCCATTGATGACATATCTTTCAATCCGGCAGTCAAATGCAATTGCTCCTACAACAATGCCACTCTTTGCCACATCACTGCTCTGTAATATACCTTCTTCTCCACCCTCTTCTCTGGAGTTCATCAATTATAGATGGGAAGATGTGCTTTTTATTTCTTTTGGTATATTTATGATGTTCATTCTAGACGCATGATGATGTAATGGTTGTTGCTTTCAAAAATTTTCTTCGCAGGAAAGTTTACGCGTTAGACCCTGCTTATGTGATTCCGGATGAACTTTGGAACCTAACTTTCCTCGAAGTCCTGTATGGTTTCTTTCTATATACTGTATAATTTGGATCATGACCATTTATTTTATGTGCCAGTTTCGAAAAGTTCCTTTTAATTACTCCGTAGGTTATTAAGATTATTGATTGAACAACCTATGTTCTACGCAATCGGCAAAGCTTTTGATTGTGTTATGGATTATTTACAATCCATAACTGTATGTATGCATGTATATTTATTAATTCTTCTAAGTCCAGGCTGCTCCTCTTTTTTTTTTTTTTTTTTTTTTTTTTTTTTTTTTTTTTTTTGTAGAAATCTAGGCCAAAATTACTTGACAGGCAAACTGTCCCCCTCCATTGGAAATTTGATTCGTATGAAATACTTGTGAGTGAGTTTATCTGTGGCTATAACTTTGATAGTTATCTGCGTTTCATGTGTGCTAAGGGATATATTATTCCTTTTTTTAGAAGCCTGGGCATTAATGCTTTGTCGGGGGAGCTTCCAAAGGAACTTGGATTGCTAACTGACTTAAGATCCTTGTAAGACATTCGTAAAGTCATTCATGGATATTATGATTTATTGTTGATATATATAATTGGGATTATCCTTGGACATTTGTTTGCATGAGGATTGAAACTTGCATGTGTTGCAGGTCCATTGGCACAAATAATTTTTTTGGGCCTTTGCCTTCAGAGCTTGGAAATTTGAAAAAACTAACACAACTGTAAGATTGATTTGATGCTTTTAAGAATAAGACTTCTAGAGGCCAGCTACAGTTTTCTCTTTATATTGATAGAATTTTTTATTCAATTGCTAGCTACATAGATAGTTCTGGTGTTAGTGGTGCTATACCTCCAACATTTGCAAATCTTCTGAATCTAGAAATAGTGTAAGTTCCCTTGGCTATTTTTTTATAGTAAAAATCAGGTGCATTCTATAATGGCATTCAGTGGAGCAAACTTTGGTTCTTTCAGGTGGGCTTCAGACACTGAACTTTCAGGGAGGATACCTGATTTCATTGGGAATTGGTCGAAGCTTACTACCTTGTAAGACTGTTAATAAGATTATTATCCTTCCAAAAAGTCCATTGCACTTGATTTCTAGATTCAATTGAAAATCATTCTTACTCATGCCCATTGCTGGTTCTCTACTTCCCATTGTTTATGATCGGGATCAATTTTGTATTTCTGCAGGAGGTTCGAAGGAAATTCATTTCAGGGCCCAATTCCATCTACATTTTCAAATTTAACCTCATTGCTTGACTTGTGAGTTTTAGCCTACCAGTTACTTTTTTATGTGTTACGAAGTTTGTTCTCTGTGTGAAGAATATTTCAATGTCTACTGCGATGAATACATGCAGGAGGATAAGTGATCTTTTGAATGGGAGTTCTTCACTGGACTTCATTAGGAATTTGAAGAATTTAAGCAATCTGTAAGGAGACATGATCAGCTCCAATCTGCATAGTTTTATTATACTCTTTCTTTACCTTTTCTTTTTCTGGAATCTGACCTACTATAATGAATTGGTTGCTTGGTCCTCAGAGTTTTACGGAATAACAATATTTCTGGTTCCATCCCCTCTAATATTGGAGAATATCAGAGCTTGTCATGGTTGTAAGTCCTCTGGTTTAAGGATATTCTTAGTTGAAATGTTTGTCTACTAGTGTTTTGAACAGAGATAGATGCTTATTTTGTATCCCAAGCTAAAGACAAATGGTTCATTATAATTGCATACTTTAGAGAAAATTTTATTTATCATTCCATAAAAAGCACTACTTAACCTTTTGTCCTTTTTATTTTTTTCTTATAGTGATTTGAGCTTCAATAATTTGACAGGGCGTGTTCCAGATCAACTTTTCAATCTTAGTCCACTCAGAAATTTGTAAATGATCCTAAAAGTTCTTTTACTTTGACACCATCTCATTATAGTACTTTTACATGTTGTCTTTCCAATCTCCAGGTTTCTCGGTAGTAACAAGTTAACGGGTTCTTTGCCTGCACAGAAGAGCCAAAATCTGCAGATTATGTAAGTTATATCTGTTTAATTAGAAAGGTAAACTTTACTAGTCCAAATATTCATCCCGACTTAGCTCAAGGCATTAAGTAACCTTTTAGATTTATATTTATATAACAATTATTAATTGTTCAATTACTCTTATTATATCTGGCATGTTTCTGGTATATATTTCTCTGTTATTGGATGTTGAGTATCATTAACACTTAGCTTTATTTAACATTGTCAATATTTTACCTTCAGAGATTTATCATACAATGAATTATCTGGGGGCTTCCCTTCTTGGACTGGTGGACAAGATTTACAACTGTAAGTATGAATAGAGTACAAATGTCACATACTGTGTAATATTCCTTCCTAATCTGTCCTTTTGCTTCAAGATTTTCACTTCCTAATATAATAGGGGGTGTCTTCATGAATTCTAATGTTGCCATGTGTTGATATATAATTTGCAGGAATCTGGTTGGCAATAACTTTACCATTGAGAGCTCTAACGACCGGTGATGTTACACTTCACCATATATATCATGTTTTGAAAATCACTCTCCTCTATTTTTATTGTCCATTTAATTTTAACAGGCCATAGATCTATTAATAGATAATAAATATGTTTCTAAAAATTAAAAATCTAGTGGTATGTTTAGTTCAATTTAAAATTTACATTAGACTACTCATCTCCATGGTTTGGTACTACTTTTTGGTTCTAGGTAAGAACTGGCGGTACTGGAACTAGAACCTAAACCGTACAATACCAGTCACTGTTCTAGTTCTGGTTCAAAATACTTTTGAACTGATAAATATTAAAAATTATAGAGCGCATCAGGACAGTTCTGGTTTCTATTCCTTAAACAGAGGAATCTTAGCTAGGACCTTAGGATCTTGGTTAAGGTTCTGGTTAGAATGGTAACTGGTTTGAGACAAATTTTGTCATGCCTATGTCAGGCTACTGTTTTCTCAGAATTTTTTTTTATAGTTTTTCTTCCAGAGGCCTAGAGTGAAGCAAATTAAGTTGAAAACTTATTTTTAGATATTTTAAACAAATTTTAAACTTGATGTTAATCTGATTCAGTTTATCTTTCTCGTTTCAGTGCTCTGTCTTCAGGATTGAATTGTCTTCAGAAGAATTTCCAATGCAATCGAGAAACTCCCATTTGTAAGTTAAACCAAAATATTTTCACTGATTGATAGTTTATGCTTGAAACAAATATGGTGAATTTTGTAATGTTTTTAACTTTAAAGATGAATTTCTACTCATTTCCCATTTCTGTTCTCTAGTTTTTTTTTTTTTTTTTTTTTTTTTTTTTTTTTTTTTTTTTTTGGTTTTGTTTTTTGTTTTTTTTTTTGGTTTTTGTATAATGTTGCACACTGCATACTACGAAAAGGATGCCAAATAAATAAAACAGAAAAATATATTTGTCTTGAGTTTTGATACTTGATGTGAATTATAGAAGAAGGCAGTATTTTTCATTGATGATAATTTGCACTGTACAGACAGACAGACAGACAGACACATGCTAGAACTCCAAAGAAAGGAGTAATCTAGTAATCTCCACATACTAAAATGCCAAAGGTCACATGCTAAAATCCTAATCTACCACCCCACCTGCTAAATATGTGTCAACACATGATACTCATGAAGCACTGTTACCACTGTACTCTGTGCATGCTTAAATTCTGAGGTTATAAATTATTACATGACTACTATTCTGTTTCTATGCATTTTTGGATGGAGTTCTTTTAATACTTTCATATTTGCTTATCACTATTCACTCAGATTCTAGCTTTGCTATCAAGTGTGGTGGTCAACAAATTGTGTCATCTAATCAAATACTGTATGAGAGGGATAACGAGACTCTTGGTCCAGCAACACATTACATGACAAGCACAGGCAGGTGGGCTGTTAGCAATGTTGGACTGCCCTATGGTAGCAATAGTCCAAAATACACAACTTCCACTTCGTCACAGTTTACAAATACTTTGGACTCTGAACTCTTCCAGACAGCAAGACTTTCAGCTGGATCGCTAAGGTACTATGGCTTGGGCTTGGAAAATGGTAATTACACTGTGACCCTCCACTTTGCAGAGTCAGTAATCCTGAAATCTAGCCCTCCTTCTTGGAAGACTCTTGGGAGGCGTGTCTTTAATATATATATACAGGTATGTGTTCTAGAATTTGAGCTTAATATAATGCATTATACATACATACTTGTGTGTGTGTGTGTGTGTGTGTGTGTGTGTATGACCTAGATGAGGATTAAGGCTACGCTCAGTTAAACTGTTATAAATGATAAACTGTGGTTACTCTGATGAGATTGCACACAAAATTGGAAAAATAATTACTGTTTAATTATGATGCATTTAGAGTCAAATTTGAAAATTTTCTAAGACTAATATCTTGTGCTATCTTCACTTATGATGGTGTTTAGCTGAGTTTTTGGTCTCTTTCAGGGCAATCTAAAGGAGAAAGATTTTGATATTCAAAAAGAAGCTGTGGAATCATTCACTGCTATTTCAAGGGAATACAAGGTTCAAGTATCTGAAAATCATTTGGACATCCATCTGTTTTGGGCGGGGAAAGGAACTTGCTGTGTACCTTCACAAGGTAGTTATGGACCTTTGATTTCAGCGATTAGTGCGACCCGAGGTATATATGACCATCACCCATTATTGTTTTGAGTAAAATGTAATAATGTATCATCAAAGATTTTTAAAACTTCTCTGCAGATTTTGTTCCCTCTGACAAAAAGAAGAATAGGACTGGCATGGTGGTAGGAATTGTTTTTGGAGTTGGAATGTTGAGCTTTCTTTCTGTATTTGCTGTGTATTGTTTTGTTCAGAGAAGAAAAAGGCAGGACACATATGATGATGAAGGTAAGTAAAAAATTGACTGCAAATCCTGTTATTTTTTGCTTGTGCTTTTGAGACATTATTTTGTGACTATATGAGCATAGCTGGGCCTGGATAAAACAACAAGAAGTATGTAAAAATTGGTTTATGAACTCTTGCTATAGATCAAAGCAGATTAGGATCAGTTATATTGGAAAGGCTGCTAGCATTTTTTTTTTTACAATGTCATCTCATATAGGCATAAAAGTGGAAGTAGGGAGCACAAATTGGCTAGCAAGGAGGAATATAATGTTTATGGACGAACATCTTTTAGATTCATGTATTGCTATGATGCATTCTCGGGGAAGAGCTATTCATGCAGGAATAGGCCAAAGCAAGAGGAGCCGTGATTTAGGAAGTTGATGGATGGGAGACATCTTATTTTATTACAGCTAGTTTAGTACTTTAGTTATTTGGAAACTACTAAATAGTTATTTAGCCTATGCTCTTACTCTTCAAATTAGTTTGGAAAGAGCTATTTATGTTGAGTGGAGCAAAGCTGAACTTTTTCCTTGTCATATCACCCACAATTTGACGGTCAAACAGAGGGGGTTAACTGAATAATAAAAATGTATTTACAGTGTTTGGTTGGAGATCACCCTCATAAATGGGTGGAGTTTCTTCTACGGATGGAATATTGTTACAACACCTCTTACCATTCATCTCTTCATGCCATGCCATTACAAGTGGTGTATGAATGGCTTCTGCCTGGTCTCTTATTATACGAACCTGGATTATCTAAACTCAAGGCAGTGGATGAAATTTTGAACTATAGCCTATAGGGATGAGGTGCTCTGCGATGCCAGTTATCACCTTCAATTGGCAGAGTCATGAATGGAACAAACCTATATCCACAATCATAGGGATGTGAGTTTTGAACAAGGCCAATGGGTGTGGGTGAAATTACAGCCGTATTGCCTACCATTAGTTTCAAGGAGACTACATCACAAGTTCTTATGAACCATTCCAAATTCTACGAAGGATAGAGAAAGTGGTGTATCAAGTGGATCTTCCTCTAGGGGCCCTAGTGCATAATGTATTCCGCACCTCATTGCTAAAGAATACAAAGGGGTCCACCCCTACTGATATTCCCCCCTTGGCCCTTACCATCCACCATGGAGGGGCATGTCATCCTTCATCCAGTGGCAGTGTTGAAAGCTAGACTCAATCGAGGTATTCAAGAGTTCTTAGTTCAATGGGAGGGACTAATAGAGGAAGATGCTTCATGGGAAACATGGGAAAACTTACATGTAAGGTTCCCTAATTTCAAGCTTGAAGGCAAATTTGATGTCTAGGAGGGGTGTAATGATGCTTTCTAGGGGGAGCTATTCAGACAGAAATAAACCAAAGCAAGAGGTGTTGTGATTTAGGAAGTTGTTGGGATGGGAGAAGTCTTAATTTATTACCATTACTTAGTTTAGTTATCTGGAACTACTAAATAGTTATTTAGCCTATTACTCTTAGTCTTTAAATTAGTTTAGATAGTTTAGTTATTGGGAAACTACTAAATAATTAATCATTTTTAGTTTTGGGAATCATTTAATTGCCCTATCATAAAAGGGAAAAGTATTTAAAATTTATGACAAACAGAATTTAATCCCAATTAAGAGGGCAAGGGACTTTTGGATCCCAAGTAAACAAAGTTTTTTTTTTTTTTTTTTTTTTAATAAATCCATTTCCAGTTGCTATTCTTGATACTTTCTTCTGTTTTATTTTGTGCTTCTTGTATGTAACGTGAGCTCTTAACATGCTACCTTTGTTACACATTCCTATAAGAATAGAACATTTCTTCTACTTTCTATTCTCTTTTGGGGGGTAGGAAAGAAGTCATTATGTTATGTACGCCATTTGATTAGTAAAGTATGATTAGTTTTAGCATCTTTTCCTATTGAATGTGCAGAGTTCTTGGGAATGGATGTGAAGCCATATACTTTTAGTTACGCTGAATTAAGAGCTGGAACGAGTGATTTTAGTCCTTCTAATAAGCTTGGAGAGGGAGGATTTGGACCTGTATACAAGGTAATTCTTTCTTTCTTTTTTTTTTTTTTTGAAAGTAGGTAATTCTTTCTTTCAATGTGTTATAATCTAAAATTGGGCTATAATGCACATGGGTCAAACCAAATAAAAGATTGAATCCAACCAATTAGCTAGTCTAACCCATTGCCTTATAAACCCATATAATAAGACAAACCCATATATTCTCTCTTATTTTATCAATATGGACTCGTAACACAATGGAAGTGCTGAAGAAACTTTTCCTCAATTTCGCACTCAAAAAGTAGGGCAATTTATATCGTGGACTAGGGTCCACAGTGTATTGTGCACATTGTCATAGTTCTTCATTTTCTTGAGAAACATGTGAACTGAAATTTGTTTAAGCTTATGATAAACAGGGAACACTCGAGGATGGGAGAATTGTTGCTGTTAAGCAACTCTCTGTGGCCTCCCGCCAAGGGAAGAGCCAGTTTGTGGCAGAGATTGCAACAATTTCTGCTGTCCAGCACCGCAACCTAGTGAAGTTGTATGGCTGCTGCTATGAGAGAGACAAACGGTTGATTGTGTATGAGTTTCATGAAAACAAGAGTCTTGATCAAGCACTATTTGGTAATCTTAGAATTTTATGCTCCTTTAGTTCCTATAACTTGTTTCTGATAGAAAGGATGGTGATTTATTTTTTAAAACTTTGTCCAGGATGTAGTAACTTATTTCTTGATTGGCCAAGACGTTTTGAAATATGCTTGGGAATAGCAAAAGGTCTAGCTTATCTACATGAGGAATCTCGACTAAGAATCGTACACAGAGATATCAAGGCTAGTAATATTCTACTTGATTCAGACCTCAACCCTAAAATCTCAGATTTTGGGTTGGCCAAGCTCTATGATGATAAAAAGACCCATATTAGCACTCGTATTGCAGGCACACTGTAAGATCTTTAACCCTATATATCCTTTTCATGCAATTTCACTTTCTATCCAATATTTTACTATTACGGAGTACTTATTAAACTAATTGCTGATGTAGTGGGTATCTTGCACCGGAATATGCCATGCTTGGCCACCTTACTGAGAAGGCCGATGTGTTTAGTTTTGGAGTTGTTGCCTTGGAGATAGTTGGTGGCCGGCCAAACTATGACACGAGCTTGGAACAAGACAAGATGTATCTTCTTGAATGGGTATGCCATATGCTTTGTCTTTATCATCAATCACTAATATCAATTTGAAAAAGCATATTGTTTGAAATAAACTTGTAAAAACCATTGTAAAAACTAAGTGCTCTCTTGATCCTGAGTGTTGCTGTTGATTTTAGGCTTGGAATCTGCTAGAGAATAAGCGGGAGGTTGATTTGGTGGATGAAAATCTGAAAAGCGAATTCAATGAGGATGAAGTAAAACGAGTGATAGGGGTATCGCTTTTGTGCACCCAAACATCCCCAGTATTTCGGCCACCAATGTCCCGAGTGGTGGCAATGCTTTCAGGAGACACTGAGATAGTAGGTGCAACTACAAGGCCCAGCTACCTCACTGACTGGAGGTTCAATGATCTAACCAGCTTCATCACTAGTAGTAGTATTCATGATTCCCAGGATGATCCATCAGTGGCTACTACTACAAGCGTCACAACAGATTTAAATTCTTCACCACTAAATCTAAATGCATCCAGACCTTTGCTTCACGAGATCATTGGAGAGGGCCAAATAAGGTCAATTTAAGAATGTGTTCCCATTGAAATTATGGGTAATTGACAGAAATGTACTGTAAAATGAATAAGCGACCAAAATAGGACACTTTTCAAAGTTATACAATTCTGGAAAAAACTCATTTGGGACATGCGTTTTTATCAGAAAGGCATGTCTCAAATGAGTTTTTTTTTTCGAAATTGTACATTTTTTAATACTTTTTTCATTTTTATCATTCATCACAAAAGTGTTCCTATTTCAGTCATTAATCCGCAAATTATCACCTTGTATTGTGGATCCCAATCCAAAATAATATTCAGTTTATATGTCTATAAATAACAAATTATGTACCTATAAATAAATTTAAAGCATATAATATATTAATTGTTGGTACATAATTTATTAATTACAAGCTTATAATAATATGGTAATTGTAGCAGATACATAATTTATTAATTACATGTACATAATTTGAATGTCGTTTTAGACCATGATCCACAATGTAAGGTGAATTTTGGTCTATGGTATAACAATTGGTTCCCATGCACCCCTCATGTCATGTGTGCCACAGACCCTTTTGCCTATTTTTGTTACCAAATTAACCATACTTTTTATTTTAACTTAAAATTTATACTGATATAAAATGGTACAATTTGTTATTTTATATATTTGCTCAAAATATTTTGCATTTCTGCAATCACATTACCAAAATATAGTTTGTGTTGTTTTTCATCACTTCTAAAATTCGTTGCGATTTGCGACGCTCTACCACTCTCAAACTTAATATGGTTCTGCATACCCCAAAATTGTCATAGTTAACAACTTCCCTCCTACAAAATTTATACTCCGTAACTTTTTTCACTTATTTCATTTTCTAAAATTGCCTTTCGCGCCAGTGAATCATTGAATCAAACAAATGATGGACATATAGAGTAAATTTTGTACAAATTGATGAGTTTTTATTTAATTAATAACTGTCATAAGAAAAATATTATGTATATTTTCAAATTTACTCTCAATTTTTATTCCTTATTATCTATGAGTAGAACTTTTAAACTTATTCTATCATGAGTTTGAGAGAGTAAAATTTGAGAATTCGTATCAGAACTCCTGTCAGAACGGACCAATAACTGACGAATAGTAACCAATTTTAACCTACGAATTGTGAATTTGTGAAGGATTGTACTGCAACTACTATATGATTGATTGCACTGCTACGGCTCCTAGACATGCTTGGAGGATCTTGGGATGCAATAATGTAGTAAGTGCACTGCAATCCTTCACAAGTTCACAGTTCGCTGATTAAAGTTGGTTCTTACTTGATTATCGAGCTAGTATAGATAAAACAATTTCTTTTTATTGCACAAGACTCCATAATAGTTCCAAAATTACAAAAGCAGAACAGCATATTCTGCAAATTACAAGTTACAACCCCTGTCCCTGTAAACCAATCCCAGAAAACATTATCAAAATAATTTGGTAGCAATATATATGAATAGAGAATCCCAACAACTTAACCGCACAAGATGAGGTTCGTAAGACCAAGAACAATGCAAGAGACGGTGAAGAAGAAGAGAGTAACAAAGTCTCTAGCAGACCATTTCCTCACCATCTTAGCTTCCACTCTCATACTCTTAGCCCTTCTAAGCGCGTCAACTTCCTTCAACAGATCGAATTCCACGCCCTTCTTCTTCAGCTCCTCCACGCACTTCGCCAACAGCTTCCCGTCCTCTTTCTCCCTCTCCAGAAGCTTCTCCAGGTGGCTCTCCGTGTCGGTCTTGTACCGCACCGCCCAGATGATCCCCATGGAGCAGAGGAGGGAGCAGAGAGACGGGATCCACGATCTGCGGCAGTAGAATCCGGCCTTCCTCTGCTGCGATGCGGAGCTGAAGAGGAAGGTGAGGGAGATCGAGTGGAAGAGGAAGAAGAAGATGTAGAGCTGCGTGATCTCTTTCCGGACGGAGTCGATCTGAGTCTCTTTCGCCACGATTCTGTTGAGGATTAGGTCTTGCTCCTTCAGCCATTGCTTGAGGAGGAGCTTGTGGGTCGGGCTCTCGGAGATTTGGTGCAGCGGGTGAATGGGCTTCGCCTCCATGATTGAGGATGATGATGTTGTTGTTGTAGCGTTCTGATCTGCCATTTTTATGCTGCTTCGGCGCTTCTATAGAGAGACGGAGAGACTTAGAGAGAGAGAGAGAGATTTGGAGAACAACGGAGCAAACAGTAAAGAGGGAGCGTTTCGTTTTAAAACGGTCGGTTGAGATTTGAAATTCTAACGGTCGAATATTGAAATATATACTTGGGCTAGGCGGCTCATAGTAGCTTTTTCATGGGCTTAACCAAAATAAAATATTTAAGTGTGCGTGAAAATATAAAATTATTTAAGTATTACATCTGCAAATAAATCAATCGTTATGCTGTGCATCCGCATGGTGCATACGGATGTCAAAACGACGTTGTTTTATAAAAAAAACGCACGTCTCCTCTTTAAAAAAAATTCAGGTTCGATTCCCAGCAACAACATTATATTGTTTATTCATTCTGGAATCTTAGTCCATAGATTATGGAATTATAGTTCATCGATTATGGAATTGTAGTTCATCGATTCTGAAATTTTAGTTTATAGATTATGAAATTTTAGTTCATTCATTCTGGAATTTTTAGTTCATAGATTAGATTATGGAATTATAGTTCATCGATTATGGAATTATAGTTCATCGATTATGGAAATATAGTTCATTGATTATGGAATTTTACTTCATATGTTGTTGCTGAGAATCGAACCTGATTTTTTTTTTTTTTTTTTTTAAGGGAAGACGCGCGTTTTATTAAAACGACGTCGTTTTTGCATCCGTATGCACCATGCATGGTGCATACGGATGCACAACATAATTTGCCCAAATAAATCAAAGATTCAAACATGTCACTAAAATAACATAGCGTATATGGCAATTTATATCATGGATCAGGTCCACGTAGTATTATGGACCTTGGATCGAAACAACGAGGTACGAAATTCTTATTCGTAAGGTACAGAATTTCATAACACAAGACATAAAAAGTTACAACACAAGACACATACACATGTTATATATTTTACTTATTTTTTAAATCTGATTTAGGTACATAATTTGTGTTCATAGGCACAGAATTTCACAAACACATGACACATAAATTCATAACATAAGACACAATTATTAATTTGTTTCAAGTATAGAATTCATACTCTTAATGTACAGAATTTCATAACACAAGACACAAAAATTTACAACATAAGACTTATACATATGCACTAGGGTCCACAGTGCACATGACACATAAATTCGTATGCATGTGGCTTGCTAGTTGGGATGACCATGGTTGTTCCTACCCATGTGTATATGTGAGATAAGTATTTTTCTCCTAAGGGGCATATTTGTGAAGGTGGATATGATGAGATAAGTCTTTTCTCCTAAAGGACATATTTGCCAAGGTGGAGATTTGTTAAGTTATCTTTTTCTCCTAAAGAGCATATTCGCCAAGGTGGAGATAGTCTTTTCTCCTAAAGGGCATGTATGTAAAGGTGGAGATGGTGAGATGAGTCTTTTCTCCTAAAGAGCATATTCGTTTAGGTGGAGATTTGTTGAGTTATCTTTTCTCTTAAAGAACATAGAGATTGTTGAGTTTGTCTCATATATGGATTAGGAATATGAGTTTTTCTCATACTAGGGGTAGGAGTGAAACGGATAGACCTGAGATTAGATGCCTATAAATATATTGGTTGTATCTCTAAGGGGTTCTGTCACCACAATCACCATCACTATGAATAAGAGTATTGTTTCACTCCTGTGGATGTAGGCACTTTGCCGAACCACGTAAATCTTGTCTTCTTTACCCTTTCTGCCATCATTGTTGAATTTGGAAGATGGAATGACCCGGCGGGTGGAAAATAATACCACCCGCCAGTTAGGCGGAAGCAATATGAAGAATCAAAGACTAGGAAATGTATATAAGACTGAAATTATATTAGTATTCTCTCTATTTCTAATACAGAAACAGAGGACATATATACACAAATACATAACTGTAAATAACTATTCATAACTTACACCATTCATAAACATACACAACCCTATAGATAAACCTATCTATTTAGTTTTCAACACTCCCCCTCAAGCTGGAACATCTAGAAGTTCCAAGCTTGGATTAAACATACACTCTATATTACAAATGAAAATTAAAAGCAGCTAGAGAATAACAGTGCTAGATGGCTTCGGAGGGACAATGCTATACACAATCCTTCGTAATGAAGGCACCATGGGCGATTAACACGAACACCCTCACAGCAACATAAGCACTCTCTTGAGAAGCCGACGTCCGCGGCAGCTTACTCTAGATGGCTCACACTCCGGACTCTTCTCGTCACAGGTAGCCCTTTTCCCCTTTGGATGGCTTCACTCCAGACCTTATCAAGTACCGGTAGCCCTTTTCTAGGTCGCCCCCTCCGCTAGACCGGCACCGGATGAGTGGACGACTTCACTCTGGATAGCTTTCGCTCCGGACTCTTCTCGGTTTCCTTTGAACCTTATCAAGCAGCGGGTAGTCCTCTTCCAGGTAGCCCTTTCCCACCACACTCCAGCCTCTCAACAAGAGCACCAAAGTAATGACAAGTACACCCAAAGAGTGAAGTATGAATACCGGGAGCACCACATATGATTGTTGTTTATACCCCTTATAGGATAAGTGAATAACAAAAGAGACTTCCGGAAATAAACAAAAGGTACCAAACTTGAAAACCCTAGGGAATAAATATGGTATACTGAATACAGTTATAGCAAAAAACCCTGGAAAGAAGTTGGCAATAAACCCAAAAAGCCTTAAAACTTCACCAACATGTCCAAAGAAGGGCAAACCAACAATCTGTAAAATTTTCACCGGAAAAATACATCATATGCACAGAAGGAATGGAGGAGAGCCGACGAGCAGAACTGGAGAGTTTCGCCGGAAAAAAAAGCCGCCGGAGACAGCCACACGCGCTGGTGCGTGCGACCGGAGTCCGACAATGGCGGCGGCGCGTGGCGGAGGAGATGGCGATGCCGCTTGCGGGGTCTGGCTCGCCAGAGACAGTAGAAGGGATGGGTGACACTAATTTGACAAAAGAACTCACCAAAAGCAAGTAATTTAAAAAATTAGGGTTTGCGTGAACAGTAACTTTACTGTTCGAAAAACAATTTTGATGTTTGGAATGCCCTAAGAAAGTAGTCTCTGATACCATGTTGAATTTGGAGGATGGAATGGCCCGGCGGGTGGAGAATAATACCACTCGCCAGTTAGGCGGAAGCAATATGAAGAATCAAGGACTAGGAAATGTATATAAGACTGAAATTATATTAGTATTCTCTCTATTTCTAATACAGAAATAGAGTACATATATATACACAAATACATAACTGTAAATAACTATTCATAACTTACACCTATTCATAAACAGACACAACCCTATAGATAAATCTATCTATTTAGTTTTCAACAGTTATTATTGTTTATTGTTCTTATTAATCTTAACATAACTCATTTCAAACAAAAGAAGTAGACACTCAAGATTTCAATTAAAAGCATACTTCAACCGGAACTTACAGCAGTGACAAGCTCTGATATTCTCCAATATTCAAGGGGATGGAACCAGAAATGTTGTTATTCCGTAAAATTCTGAGGATCAAGCAATCAGTTCATTACAATCGGTCAGATTCAAAGAGGGCGGGGGGGGGGGGGGGGGGGGTGAGGGAAAAAACAGGAGTATAATAAAACTTTGCAGATTGGAGCTGATTATATCTCCTTACAGACTGCTTAAATTCGTCATATTCCTAATGAAGTCCAGTGAAGAGCTCCCATTCAAAAGATCACTTATCCTCCTGCAAGTATCCAGTGCAATAGACATTAGAATATTCTTAACAAGAAAAACAAACTTTGTAACACACATAAAAAAAAAAGTAAGAGTTTGGATAAAACTCACAAGTCAATCATTAAGGTCAAATTTGAAAGTGTAGATGGAATTGGGCCCTGAAATGAATTTCCTTCAAACCTCCTGCAGAAATACAATTGATGCCAATCATAAACAATGGAAAGTAGAGAACCAGCAATGGGTATGGATTAAGAATGATTTTCCATTGAATCTAGATATCAAGTGCAATGGATTGTTTGGAATGGATAATAATCTTATTAACAGTCTTACAAGGTAGTAAGCTTTGACCAATTCCCAATGAAATCAGGTATCCTCCCTGTAAGCTCAGTGTTTGAAGCCCACCTGAAAGAAACAAAATTCACTCCATTGAACGCGATTACAGAATTGACCTGATTTTTACTTTAAAAAAATAAAAACCAAGGGAACTTACACTGTGTCTAGGTTAAGAAGATTTGCAAATGTTGGAGGTATAGCACCACTAACACCAGAGTTAGCTATATAGCTGGAAATTGAATAAAAAATCTATCAATATAAAGAGAAAGCTGTAGCTGGCATCCAGAAGTCTTATTGTTAAAAGCATTGAATCAATCTTACATTTGTGTAAGGCGTTTCCAATTTCCAAGCTCCGAAGGCAAAGGTCCAGAGAAGTTATTTGAGCCAATTGAACTGCAACACATGCAAATTTCAATTTTGTGCAAACAAATGTCCAATAATATCCTGATCATACACATCAATAATGAATCATAATATCCATGAATGACTTTAATAATGTCTTACAAGGATCTCATGTCAGTCAGCAATCCAAGTTCCTTTGGAAGCTCCCCTGACAATGCATTAATGCCTAAGCTTCTGGTGACAATGAAAAAAGAGTCATATATGCATTAACACATGTACTCAACATGAAACAGAGATAACTATATCAAGTGAAATACCGAAGATATAGTTGACTTACAGGTATTGCAGACCACTCATATTTGCAATGGAAGGGGATAGTGTGCCTGTCAGGTAATTTTGGCCCAGATTTCTACAAACAAAATGAGGAGGTGTCTGGACTTAGAAGAGAATTATATATTACTCCGTACATACATACACACAGGTTATGAATTGTAAATAATCCATTACCAAATCCCAAGTTACTTAAGTGTAGAACACGGATTGTTCAATCAATAATCTTAATAATATAATCAAATGAGCTTGTCGAAACTGCCACATAAAATGATTACGGTCCAAATTATACACTATATAGAAAGAATTCATACAGATCAGTGATGAAATTTAGCTTCCAAAGTTCATCCGGAATCGGACCAACGACATCTAAAGCGTAAACTTTCCTGCGAAGAAAAAACATACATCATGATGCATTGAACTCCATAAATACGAAAAAATAAAAAAGAATTATAAACAATTGATGAATTGCAGAGAAGAAAGTGGAGAAGATGGTAGATTACAGGGCAGTGATGTGGCAAGGGGTGGAAGAGCAATCGCATTTGATTCCCGGATTGAAAAACTGCTCTTGCAAACTGGTAGAATCGATGGCGGCGCCAGTGCACATGTTTACAGCCATGTCCCACCAATTGTTCCGCCAAATCCCCCATTGTTGGAATACGGAGTTCAAAATACTAGCTGCAGCACAGTATCCATTGTTGAATTTCTTGGCTAAGTTAATATGAAGTGCTCCGATCCTTAGGAATTTAGGCCAAAAACAAAAAATGCGAGTGCAAAAAACTTTCCAAAAGTAATGCTCAACTTGTTTTTCAATACTTTTTAACTTCATAATTGATATTATATCAATAGTAGATATATCGTAGAAGAGAAAGAATTGAGACTTGAGACAGAATTTTCTCGTAACATTACATGGACTCAATTTTTCTACTTCATCTGATTTGAGTAGACTATAATCTATCATTTGATCCACAACTAGTATTAACTCCAAGTTTTTTATTCCAAAATATGAGACTTTTACAAGGTATTTTGAGGAGAGGGGGTGACTGCCCCTATGCCCCCATGAATATGCATAAATGTTATGGAAAAATACAGGAATTGAGAGCATGTTGCGCACCTTCAGAGGGATCAAGGGTAGCGTTTGCGATCTGGATCTGAGCACGGGCTGTCGGAAGATTCTGCGGGCAAGAAATGGTAACTACTGCTGCTATAATCATGATGCACTTCATCAGACCAACTCCACTACTAGATCCTAAAAACTTCACCTCCATCGGTTAACTTCTGAAGCTAAGCCCTGAAGATGCAAGTATGAAACAAAAAAGTAGCAAGGGGGCAACAAGTCAAGTTGGAACAAATAATTGAATTTAAATATTGGACAAATGGAGTAAGTAGCTCCGGCAACGTTCCCGGTTAATCATTCTCTTGGCATCTTTCTTCCTCTTGTTCTAGTTAACAAGCTTTTTCCTCTTGTATCTTTACAAGTTTTTATTTCGGTCTTTTCCGGGTGTGTGTAGTTGGGGGTCTGCTTCATTATTGAAGAATTCTACCAACCCTGTTTATGACAATGAATGTTGGTTGTTGGCTGTCATTTATATATCCCTGAGGTCAGGGCTTTAGTGTTTCTTCTCCATAAACCAAACTCCCTTCGATTTTCTCTTGAGCTGTTGGTTCTCACACCTGCTCTCTGTCCCTTCTCTCTTACCTGATGGCGTCGAGCAGGAGGCAAGGAACCTCTGGAGACTCAGTATGCATCATTGAATATCCAGGACGACGTGGAGGTGGATATGCCATTTGATGATGATGATACTTGGAATGCTAATGGTGAAGGAGTCTATACCTTGGTGGGCACATTATTGAAGGAAAAAGCTGTTAAGTTTAACTTCCGAAAGGAAACTATGGCAACCGTATTGAGACCAGTGAAGGGGATGATGGCGAAGGAGATAGCGACAAACTTGTTTATCTTCCAGTTTTTTCATGAAAAAGACATTGGCAGGGTGCTTTGTAATTTCTGTATTTGTGTTAAATATTGTGTCTAGATAATATTTCAGTATAATTCTGTTTGAGTGATTGACTTAACACTGTCGTAGATCAGTGAATAGTCATGGTGCGGAAATTAAATCAAACAGAAATAAAAGACACAAAATATTGTTTACCCAGTTCGATACAGTGTGTATCTACGTCTGGGGGACGATCACTGATGCGTCCAATCCACTAACTCATAATCCAATGTACAAAGGTAGAGAAAAACGATCTCACCCAAGTGCCCCACACAAGGTCAGTACCCAGTCTACAGAGGTTTAGTGAATTGTTGAAGTCGGAGAGCCGCGCATCCAGAAGTCCAATGAAATCCCTTCAATGGAGAGCTAACTCTGATGCAGTCCGCTTCACTGACGCAGTCCCACGTTGTTCCCGCAACTGAGTGATCTTCACGTCCACTGGTTTAAGCATGATTGATTCTTCTCAAGTTCATCTTCTTAAGCACCATGAACTGTATTTCTTGAGAAGGAATGGAATAGCCAGAGATGTGTATTCTTTTAATATTTAGAGTGTTGGCTTCAAGGCATTCAACCCTAACTTGTGAAGTATTGTATGCATAAATACTTCTTGTCTTTGATTCTCTCCAAAAATAGCTCTGGTTGTAAAAGGTAGGACTTGTATAGCTAATCAATCTTGATTTGTTAAGGAGATTTCGTCCATACCTAAGGAGAGATGATTTACTGATATTCTTTCTTGAAATATCACCTCAAAATCGCGTTTGCCAGCTCATACGCGTCTTCAATAAAAGATCTCCAACGATTTTGATTCTGAGACGCTTTGACGGATTATCTGATCAATCAGAACTTCAGTCTTCAAACTCTGACAGACTCTAAAATAGAAAACCTATCTAATTTGCCATAATAATTTTGCCAATTACATGTTGGGGTTTTAGACTCAAAACACTAACATGCTTGAAGACGGACCATGGTCATTCGAACAACACCTCCACATTCTATATCAGCTTCAAGATAACGAATCTCCCCTTGATGTTGATCTCTCTAAGGCTGAGTTCTGGGTGCAAATTCACAAAATACCAAGGAAGATGATTACCCTAAAGATGGCGGAGTTCATAGGTGCTCAACTAGGAGTATTTGTCAAGGTTGACTTATCAAACTATGATGGTGTTAGGAATGTGATTGTAGTACTCTACTAGGACTCTACTACTACTGTTATTTATCTCTTGTGTTTCAGTTCTATTGAATCTATCCGACAATATTCCTCATCTGGTATCAGTTACCGGGTGTTATCCATCTCTTTCGTTTTCTCTCCCATGGCGACGATCAGAGACGACGGCTCAATTGGCGTTTCTTCGGAGCGCACGGTGTCTAAGGCTACGGCTTCTGCCCCTGTCGTTGACAACTCTCTCTCGTCTGCGCATCACTTTGTCTCTCTCAAGCTCACGGCTCGCAATTTTCTGTTTTGGCGGACCCAATTACTCCCGTTCCTGCGTGGTCAGGGGCTCCTGGGGTATGTTGATGGCTCGTTTGCGTGTCCTGAGTTGCCTGCGGCCCCTACACCCGGCCCTTCTGATGGCGGTTTTTCTGCTTCATTGTTGGCGGCGCGTTCTGCCTGGCTTCAACAAGATCAAACTATACTGTCGATGTTAATCTCCTCGTTGTCTGAGGAGGTCATGCATTTGGCAGTCGGGAAGTCTACGTCGTGGCAGTTGTGGCTTTCGGTGGAGCAGTCTTTGGGGTTGGCTACGCGTGCCCGTGCGTTGCGTCTCCTCGGTCAGCTACCGGCTCTCCGTTAGGGGGATGCTTCCATCCCGGATTATCTTGGACGGGCTCAGTTGATCATTGAGGACTTGGCATTGGCAGGGCGTCCGGTGAGTTTAGATGATAAGAATTTGTACATTTTTCATGGACTAAGGCCGAAGTATCAGCCGTTGGTGGCGACTCTCACAACTGGTGACCCGGTGACTCTCACCGAGCTTTCGGACTTCCTCGTCGCACAGGACTTTATCTGTGCCAGGATGGTGCTGGTCCGGCGGCTAATGTCACGTTGGCTGCTCAGCGTGGTCGCGGGCAGTCGCACCAACGTGGTGGTGGTCGGCGGCAGCGAGGGCGTGGTCGCGGTGGCCGTGGCGACCGCGGTGGATTGCGGTGTCAAATCTGTGATGGGCCTGGCCACTCTGCCTTGAATTGCTTCCAGCGTTATTCGGGGGCTCCGGCGCCGCAAGCTCATGTTGCTTACTCAGGAGATGCTGTTGGTTCGGTCTCATCGCAACAATGGTTCCCGGACACGGGGGCTACTAATCACGCCACTCCAGATCCTTCTATGATGTCTTCTGCTGCTAGCTATACTGGGTCTGATCAGTTGCGTGTTAGAGATGGCACAGGTATGCCTATTGTTGGTGTCGGTTCATCTTCATTAGCCGTCAATTCTAGAGTCTTAAATTTGTCTGACATTTTATTCGTTCCTGGTTTATCTGCTTCCCTTTTGTCGGTTCAACGTTTCGCAAGAGACAACCGTGTCTATTTTGAATTTCACCCCGAATGTTTCTTTGTGAAGGATCTTTTAACCAAGGAGGTCCTGCATAAGGGTGGTGTCTCGGGTGGTCTCTATTCCTGGTCGGCTCCGAGTCCAGGTCCGACTGCGTTAGCTGCGCGTGTCACCTCTACTGTCTGGCACAATCGGCTGGGGCATCCTCATGCTCGTGTCCTTCGTCAGATTTTGCATTCTTTGTCTATTCGTTCTAGTCTTAGTTCATCTTTATGTTCTGCTTGTCAGGTTGGGAAGGCCTCTCGCTTTCCTTTACCGCGTGTCCATCAATCTAGTTCGCGTGTACTTCAGTTAATTTATACAGACATTTGGGGCCCTGCGCCTTTACTTTCTACGAATGGCCATCGTTACTTTGTGTTATTCGTAGATGGTTATACTAGATTTGTTTGGTTTTATCCTATGCGTGCGAAAACAGATTTATATTCAATATTTGATCGTTTTCGTTTACAAGTTGAGCGTTTCTTTTCGCGTAAAATCGTCTCTGTTCAATCTGACTTGGGGGGTGAGTACAAAAAATTACACTCCACCCTTCTCTCCCTTGGAATTGTTCATCGGCAATCTTGTGCCTACACACATGAACAGAATGGGAGGGTGGAGCGTTGCCACCGTCACATTGTTGAGACGGGTTTGGCGTTGATGGCTCAGGCGTCCATTCCCACTCGTTATTGGGACTACGCGTTTGAGACCACTGTTTCGTTAATCAATAAATTGCCTACTAGTGTTCTTCATAATGAGAGTCCCCACTTTCGTGTGTTTCATTCTTCTCCCTCGTACTCGTTTTTACGGGTGTTCGGGTGTTTGTGTTTTCCGTTGTTACACCCGTACAACCGTAACAAGCTACAATACCGTTCCTCCCCTTGTGTCTTTCTGGGTTACCCCGAGTCATTCTGTGGCTATCGATGTTTGGATTTGACTACTAACAAGGTATTCATCTGTCGCCATGTGCGCTTTGATGAAGCCGTTTTTCCGTTTGCTTCTGGTTGTAATGTACAGGCTGCTGATTGTTGACCGGAGCCGTGGGGTGTTGCGCCAGTGGCTGTGGCTTCTCCTGGTGTGCCGCCAGTTCCTCTGCGGCAGTTTCCCGTGCGTCCGGCTTCTGTTGCGCCATCTGATCGTCCAACCTCGTCTGGTGAGGTGTCCAGCGGTGCCTCGCGGTCTGTTTCTCCCGAGCCAGTACGCCGTGGTCGTGGTCGTTTGCGGGGTTCACGCCAGCAGCGTGGACTGCCTCGGTCTCATTCCATGGCGCTCCGGTCGCGTGATCCGGCTGTTTTGGCTGCTCAGGTTGCAGTGTCGGATCCTACTTGCTACTCTCAGGCGGTGCTTCATCCGGAATGGCGAGCGGCCATGGATCTTGAATTTAACGCTTTGTTGCAGAATAATACATGGCGTTTGGTGCCCTTTGAGTCCGGTATGAACGTGGTTGGTTGCAAGTGGGTCTTCCGTACTAAACGGAAGGCTGACGGTTCGGTGGAACGTCACAAGGCTCGTTTGGTTGCGAAGGGGTTCAATCAGGTTGCCGGGCATGATTTCTTTGAAACTTTCAGTCCTGTTGTGAAGCCTACCACGGTGCGATTGCTCCTTTCTTTGGCGGTTTCGAGGGGCTGGTCAGTTCGGCAGTTGGACATTCACAATGCATTCCTGAATGGCAATCTGTCCGAGACGGTTTACATGCGTCAACCTCCGGGTTACGAGGATAAATCTTTTCCTAATTATGTTTGTTTTTTGCAGCGGTCTCTCTATGGCCTTAAGCAGGCGCCACTGGCCTGGTTCACCAGGTTGCATGATTTTCTGCTCACGGTTGGTTTTCATCCGTCTAAGACGGACGTGTCTCTGTTCACTTATTCCGCTGGTTCGGTCTGATTGTACTTGCTTGTCTATGTGGACGAC